AAAAAAAAGATAGTATCTTCTTTTTTTCTTCTGTATCAACTCTTCACCCATTTCCACCTTACTCTGTACCCCAGGGGCTGACTTTCTGAACTAATCCGTGGTTCACTTGCCCTCTGTCTTGAGCTGGGGGTTGAACAAAGGAGAGCCCCAGGTGATCAGAAGAAGAGGTTTCCTCCTGTGGGACTGCCTTGGTCTGGCATCCCTGATTCAACGTCAAGCCTGTCTTAAGCTGGCTTTCTCTGCATAACTCTCTCTTTCTAGATTTTGGTGACTACTTCCTTCCCTTGTCCCTTTGGGCCCAGGGGTGGTGGATTTCCACTGTTATTGGTTCCAGATTACTGCGTTATCCTTTGCGGTTTCTTGTTCCCTCCCTTTGTAAGTGGTCTTTTTACTTAACTGATCTTGAATTATTCTAACTTGAGTATACTATCTGTTCTTGCTCAAACCCTGGTTGATACAGTGCCACAGCCTGTTTCTTGAACCTACAGAATGTGTTTCATTTTCTCTTCGTAGTTGTTAATTAAAAAAAAAAATTCCAGGTTTTTTTTATTTTCCTTTTTTACACAAAGCAAAGTAGAAGAAATAATACAGGATTTAAACTGCCAAAGTAGAATAATTAGTAGAACATGTATACACACACACAAAATGCATAGGAAGATGGGCTTATTTACAATGAGGAAACAAATGTAAAGTTAAGGTAGTTTTCACATGAAACGTTAAAAAAAAAATCAAACATATGCTACAATGGGTATTACCACTTATAGCAGTATTGAAATGGGAGATAATAACATGTAATAGGAACAGATATATAACAAGGTACAGATTTTACAGTATCAGTACAGTGCATTCACAAAACTATATTACAGCTAATCAGTTTAAGACTTGTTCCCATTGTCACATGATTTGGCCCTTGGAGGTTCATTCCTACAGATTTCAACTACTCTAAATTTCTAGCTGCTGAGAAGGAAAGAGTGATTATAAACTTTCCAAGGAGTTACAAAATCTAAGTAGACCAGAGTCTGCTCTTACCAACAGCCCTTGCATTTTTCAGAGAAACATCTAGGACAAAATATCAGACACCAGTGTAGTCACTATCTCCTACGTCAAACCTGTGGGGACTGAAATGGCCAGGTAATTACAATAAAATGAGCATTTTGAGGATTACCTTTAAAGGCATATTCTGGTCTCCAAAATTAATCAGATAAGATTATTTCCTACTGAAATGAATGAATCTTAACTAAACATAGAAGACTCCTGGCCTTCCCTGGAGGATGGTCTTGGAGTAAAGGTCATAGATATAAGTCTTAAACTACTGTGTATTATGTTAAATTTAAAGTATGCTAAAAATGCTAAATAGAATCTTCTGAATGTCTGCTATTAAAAAGCCTTCACAGATTTACTAACTTAAAAGTCTTAGTGCAAGGGGACACAAGAGCTCTAAGCATGTCACATCTCCTCATTTGGGAGAAAAAAACCAATGTTTTGTACAAATTGCTACATTTTGCACAAGGCAGAGACCTACACATGCTAGGTCATGGAATTATTAATAGGGGCTAAGAATCATGGGGATTCTTCTCTCACAGCAAAGAAACAGAATGAGGAATGAATGGTCTCTTCATCAGAAACGGTAAACCTGGTCTCTGAGGTCCTGAAGTCAGTTTTCAAGCAGACTGTGAAAGCAGACAGAAGAACCAGCTTCCCATAGCCACAGACCACTACCCTGTATCTAACTAAAGCAAAGATCAGCTCCATCAATTATCCAAGGTCACTTTAATCACACTAAAGTCCACCACCATATTATTTTATTTTATTTTATTATTATTATTTTTTTAAAGACAGAGCCTCAAGCTGTCCCCCTGGGTAGAGTGCCGTGGCATTACAGCTCACAGCAACCTCCAACTCCTGGGCTCAAGTGAGTCTCCTGCCTCAGCCTCCCAAGTAGCTGGGACCACAGGCACTCGCCACAACGCCTGGCTATTTTTTTTTTTGGTTGCAGCCATCATTGTTGTTTGGCGGGTCCGGGCTGGGGATTCGAACCCGCCACCTTAGGTGTACGTGGCTGGCGCCTTAGCCGGTTGAGCTATAGGCGCCGAGCCCACCACTATATTATTTTAAATGAAGTTGCCTAAAACAAGAATTCAATTAATGCTGGGTGAGAAAAATCAAAATAACTCATACTTGCTAATGAGTTGTCCATATAAGCCCAAAGGATGAGAATGTACCCAACTGCACTGGACGAGAAGACACTAGGACCAAGCCATACACGTGAGTCTGAGTTTCTATTATCTACGGGCAGAGTGAGGGAGAGGCAAAGAACTACTTCTGAAGCATTTTAGTTTCCAGACAGTATAATAGAAACTATTCCAAGGACAATGTACATCCCATTATCACACAGAACAAAGCAGATGGATTATTCATTTTTCTTTTTGTTTGAGAAGTTCGTTTATCTCCCTTTTGGCCATTCCAATGTACTTTGGGGTGATTCCATGTTGGTTAAGTCCAGGAAGCAACAGTAAGAAAGTCAGTATGGGCTCGACGCCTGTGGCTCAAGCAGCAAGGCGCCAGCCACATACACCTGAGCTGGCAGGTTTAAATCCAGCCCTAGCTGCCAAACAATGATGGCTGCAACCAAAAAACAGCCAGGTGTTGTGGTCTGTCGTCTCAGCTACTTGGGAGGCAGAGGCAGGAGAATCACTTGAACCCAGGAGTTGGAGGTTGCTGTGAGCTGTGATGCCACAGCCTCTCCCCAGGGCAACAGCTTGAGGCTCCGTCTCAAAACAAAAACAAAAAAAAAAAAAAAGAAAGAAAGAGTCACTATCAGGTAGGTGAGAAGCAGGTTATGTACTTGTCCCACCCAAGCAACCGCAGCAAGAGAAATGATCATGGTCCTGAGGTACATTTTAGGCTTTTCTTCCTTTAGTGTGAAGAGGCGTTTCCACCAGCCCACAGCTCTGCATCGAGTTTTTATTAGATTGCTACAGTTTTCATGGAATCTTTGCTGGTGTTCAGTAGTCTATTGGAGCCAAAAATTCTAGGCTTTAGAATGGAAACAAGCAAAAAAACATAACAAAACAGCAAACACTGGACAGAACAGACAGATCTAGATAGTAGATAATCAGAAACACCAAAGAAACCACACCCATGATAGCAGGTGGAAACCAGGCTCTTTCCCATCAGAAGACTTATCCGTCATCAGCGTCATTTCTCTCCATCCTTGCAGCTGCTCTTCAGACTTGCAGTCTCTGCAGCCAGCAAGTTGGTGCTACGATTATCTCCCTCCGCCATCGTCCCTGAGATGCTGTCTCAGGGAGTGTAAGCCGACCTCCAATTCTACCTGCTTAACGAGAACACACGGCAGTCCCAGCCTATAGTTGTTAATTTGTCTCAAAAGGATTGTAAAATAAATGCCTTATGCTTGATCCACATTTCCATGTATTGTTTTCCCGTAGCTCCCTTCATTTCAGTCTTATGATAAACTTGGAGGTTTCCTCATCATCCCTGTTTTACTGCTGATCTGAAAGGAAACACAACATGTGACTTACATTGGGTCACACAGCTAGTAAGTGACAGTATGAGGCTTATGTGAAGCCAGGTTTGAACATGGCTGGAACAGTTGGCTACCAGTCATTGGCTGAGACTTGGCTACTTGTTAGGAGACCAGGTTACAGTCTGTTATATATCCAGTTAGGTTACCTCACTTGCTATGTATGGAGAGACCTTTAGACTGAAGTTTCAAAATGTAAGGCAGCAGGGTTAGGCTAGACTTAACTTAACAATTGTGATACCCAATTTTTCCTGTTAATGGGAAATAGTATTTATAAGCCAGGTTATAGGTACCACATGTGATCATGTCTGTTGTTCGCAAGTCCTCTCAGTGGAGTTAGACAAAGCTAGGGAATATATACAAATATTTGCATATACTTATGTATATGTTTACATATGCATATAGTTACTTTATTTCTATTTATTTGTTTGTTTACTTATTTTGAGACAGAGTCTCACCCTGTTGTCCAGGCTCAAGTGCTATGGTGTCAGCCTAGCTCACAGCAACCTCGAACTCCTGGGTTCATGCCATCCTGCCTCAGCCTCCCAGGTAGCTGGGACTACAGGTGCCCACCACAGCATCTGGCTAATTATTTTTAGTAGAGATAGAGCTCACTCTTTTTTTTTTATTATTATTGAATGGTAACTATGTACATTAAGAGCTCACTCTTGTTTAGGCTCGTCTCTAACTCCTGAGCTCAAGAGATTCTCCCATCTCAGCCTCCTAGAGTGCTAGGATTACAGATGTGAGCCACTGTGCCCTGCCCAAACTATTTCTTTAAATTAAAATAGACAATTTTTTAGAGCAGTTCATAGGTTCATAGTAGAAGTGCATGGAAAATACAGAGTTCTCATACCCCCCACCTCCACATGTTGAGCCCTTCCATCAATACCCTGCACCAAAGGGTGTATTTGTTACAATCTGTGACCATAGGTTAACAGATCATTATCATCCAAAGTCCGTAGTTTACCTTAGGGTTCACTCTTGGTGTTGTACAATCTGTGGGTTTTGATGGTATACAGAATAGGTCTGCTACCTGAAAAATCCTCTGAGCACTGCCTAGTCATCCCTCCCTCCTCCTAACTCCTGGCAACCACTGATCTTTTTATTGTCTCTATAATTTTGAACTTTCCCAAATGCTCTGTAGTTGGGATAATACAATATGTTGCTTCTTTCACCGAGTAATATGCAAGACTCCTCCATGTTTTTTCACAGCTTGATAGGTTGTTTCATTTTAGTGCTGAATAATATTCCATTGTCTGGTTGTACTGCAAACTATTCACTGACTGAAGGATATCTTAGTTGCTTCACATTTAGACAATTATGAATAAAGCTGCTGTAAACATCCATGTGCAGGTTTTAGTGTTAAACATAAATTAAAACATAAGTTTTTAATTCTTTCTAGTAGAAACCAGGGAGTGGGATTGCAGCATCGTATGGTAGTATGTTTAGTTTTATGAGAAACTGTCTCCAAAGTGACCATACCATCTTGCATTCCCGCCAGCAATCAGTGATGCTCCACATCCTCCCCAGCATTTGGTGCTGCCAGTGCATTAGATTTTTGCCATTCTCGTAGGCATGTAGTGGCATCACATTGTTTTAATTTGCAGCTCCTCCATGATATATGATGTTGAGCATCTTTTCATGTGCTTATTTGCTTTCTATGTATCTTCTTTGGGAGATTTCTGTTCAGATCATTTGGCCAGTTTTAATTAGGTTGTTCATTTTCTCATTGTTGAGTTTTAAAAGCTTTTTGTATATTTTGGATAATAGTCTTTCATCATGTATGTCTTTTACAAATATTCTCTCACAGTCTGCGGCTTGTCTTCTTATTCTTTTGAAAACGTAAAAAACAATTGTGATTCCTAGATTCAGTTGCCTAACAATATTGGGTGTTGTTGCTTTTGGTTTTGGCTTCAGGTTTTAGGAGTCCTCACATGGAAGCTTCCAGTGGTCTATCACCTATTATCTCACTCATACTTAAAAAGATTTGGAAGCGCTATGTTACATACCATATACCAATGCTTTCATCTATTTGTACTCCAGGAAAAAAGTCAGTCTGCCCATCTCTCCTTCTGAGCTCAACCCTCTAGCTTCAGATCGCCTTTTGGTGACTTATTTTGGCCTTCACACTGTTCCTGGTGTTCACAGCAAATTGTTTCCATTTGCTTGATTATATTATCACGGTAGGAGTGGGACATGGTATCATCTGCCCCTGTGGTGTGCTATCTAAGGCTGCAGTTTTCCCAGGAACTTATAATGAACTAAACCCCACAGTTTGTAAAGAACGCTAGCTGCATCCTAACATTTTCCACCAATCCCAAGTTTGGAGACTAGTGGTTGCGTGTTGTCGTCTTTAACCGCCAGGGAATTATTCAAAGTTGAATAAAGACATGAACAAAGTAACATTTTTGTTTTTCTCATCATCCACTGAGCTCACTCTGCTCAGCTGTGCCTGAGCTGTGGGAAGAAATAACATTTCAAACTAGCCGTGCCTTTTGCTCTGTCTGCATCTCTGTTCCCATTTCCTGCTGGGGTACTAGAAAGAAAGGTGGAGTTTTGTATAAGATTTTCCAACTAGTAAATGTAATAGATGGCAGCTAACTCAGGTGGTCTGATGAAGAGAACATTACCCCTCCATCTTCAGTCTCCAGGAATTTCACCTAGACGGACTTCAGGAGGCAGAGAACCTTGCCCAGGTTTTTAGCTTTGCTAATACCGAGTTGATGAACAGAGAGTGTTGGGAAGGAGGTTGGGAAGGGAATTGTCTAAGGCCCAAGTCTTGCCCTGCTGCCGGGGTTCTTTTGGCTCTGTGTCTGAATATTGGGAGCATTGAAAACAAAACATAAACAGTTCACTGGCCAGGAAGCCCAACTGCAGCTGCTAAAACATAGAGCAAGTGGTGTAGTCTTGAGTTAACAATGCCTGCCTGTCTCTATTGTCTCTGATTACATGTATTACTTTACTTTATCTTTGTGAACCTGGGATATACATACAAAATATACATTCTATAAGTAAGGAAATTGAGACTCACAAAGTTTAAGAAACTTACCCAAGATCACATAGCTTTGAAGTATAAGAACCACACTACTACTTGGAACCATACCAGATATTCACAGAATTAAAGGGAAAGTTAAAAAGTGGGCAGGAAGGCATGAGACCCCAGGCAGCAGGGAACCCAGGCAAAGCCAGGTCACTGAACAGTCTGATTTGGGCACTACACTGGGCGCTTCTCCCACTGAGTGCTAAGCCAGCAGTGCTACTGGACTCTTAATGGCGCCACTGAGAATTTAGCAACTATTGTTTTGTTTCTGTGTCTTTCTTTCAAAATTCAAGTGAGAACATCTACTTGGCAGACCTCATTCCTGTGCTAGTGTTCTAGCTGGCAGGAGGTGGGGATGAGTATGTGTTTGGTCTCTTTAGTAGAGGATTGGGCCCCTGGTTCCCAGCAAGACTGACACAGTCAACGATTCCTCTCAAATAGGAAGGGTGTTTGGAAGCTGGGAAGCAACAATGCAAATGGTAAATGTCTGCTGTACAAGCCAAGGTACACAGATGCATGTGGGACATTCTGCTGAATGCTGGTTAAACTGGAAAACTGTGCTTTCCCCATAAGATTGGCTGTTTTTCTTGAGACCTGGGTCTAATAGTGTTCAGATAGTTAACAAAGTATAAGAGTTTTCACATGAGAACCTCTGGCTGTTTCTGATTCACTAAAACTACCTATCACAGAGGTAAATGGCCAGCAGAACCACCCAGCTGTTTGGGTCAATTTAAGGAGAGAGTGTTTAGGAAATTGAACCACAGGGAAAATCTCTACCTAACATTGGGCTTAATGGATTCTCAGGGTGGATATTAGGACTCTGAGTTTATATGTTCTGGGCAATATTTCAAGTAGCTTTACCCTATAAACCATATTAAACATTTTCTCATTATGAGGAGGAAAAATAATTATTTTGCTTGCAAGTCTTTGCCCTAACCCTTTTCATAGCTCTTTGCCTTAAAACTAGGGACTATATAGTTGGTTTTTTTAAGTGTGGAATATTATTCTCAGCATATATAGTAGTCATTTTAAAAATATTTAATGGGCTGAGCATGGTGACTAACGTCTGTAATCCTAACACTCTGGGAGGCCAAGAAGGGTGGATTGCTTGAGCTCACAGGTTTGAGACCAGCCCGAGGAAGAGTGAGGTCCCCATCACTAAAAATAGCCGGGTGTTGTGGCAAGCACCTGTAGTCCCAGCTACTTGGGAGGCTGAGGCAAGAGAATCACTTGAGCCCAAGAGTTTGAGGTTGCTGTGAGCTATGACACTACAGCACTCTACTCTACCGAGTGCAGCAAAGTAAGGCTCTCGTCTCAAAAAAAAAAATTTTTTTTTTAAAAGACTGGCTGGCTAAATGAATTTTCCTTAGCCATC